CTATCATATACCCGATCCTTCCAAAAGATTGATGAGTTTTTAACTTGCTGAAACTTGCAGCGTGCACCTGCCTTCAAAGCTAAAAATCTCCATATTTCTTCCATTATTTTCTTGCATTGCTATTGTAATAGTAGATTATTTATAACAGATTAAGGAATCAGTTATATTCTTAATCTATATTAGGTTGTGACAAATCAAAACAGCTGCCTTTAGTAAAAAACAAAGACTGGCACTTTCAATGTGCAAGCAGCTTGCAGCACTTATTGTGTTTGCACTCCTTTCTGCCAAAAAAGGAAATAAAGAGCATGGCTGGACGCCAAATTCAGAAGAGGGTTGTCGAGGAGGTGCAGTCAGTATGGGTTAACTGTTCTGCAGGGAGATTTGGAATTAAGTTATAAAGTCATGATGATATTGTTTTTTTGGAGTCTCCACTTCCTCTGCCTGCCTCACTGTTCTCAAAACCAGTCTGCACGTATCTCACATTTGTAGACATTATACTGACTATCATCTGCAGATGTCTGAGACAGCTTAAAGCATGACTAAGGCTACCTCTCCAGCGTGTTCAGACCCTGTGAGCTTTGATGGCAGTAAAATGCCACCTGAAGTTGGTTCTGACATGTCTCAGATCTCAAACACTCGTCTGGTACACCTAAAGTTGGACAGAGGTTGCGTACTGTGGACAGCTGAAATCACCATCAAGGAATTCTCTCAGTCTACATGTTTCCGTTCATGACATAACTTCCTTGAAAGCCAAACGCATGTGTGTTTTTCTATAACAGATCACTGTGTCCTCCTGGCTATCTTTTATGTAGTTCCCACCCCAGCTATCTCTCTGCCTCATGCACTGCTCCAGACTGAAACTGAGAGGGGCAGGACCTCATCCCTGATAGCAGGAGTCAGAGAAAAACACACTTCATGTATAGTTTGAGGGCCTATAATGGCAGCAAATACGAACAGTATTGAAGAACAGAACAACAACCACTCTGAAAATAAAAAGCAGCTAAATCAACTATGGAACTATGAGGCTTTATGAACCATTTGATCCACACAATTACTTTAAAAGAGAAGCATGGAGATGTAAATAAAAGCAACAAACCAGAGAAAAACATTTCCACATGACAACACAACCAATATGATATTTTAGTTTAACTTCAGGCACTTACACACATCTTCAGCAGAGAATTGAAACGATCCGGTCAGAAAGTCTGCGCACACTGCACTTTCCAAAAACAATGACCTGCTTATTTCGTTTAAGCAAATATATGTTCTGGTTGTACTAGGCTGCTAAAAATGTTCCAGCTGATACCATCATTACCCTCAGGGTACCCAACGTTGCGGAACCAGATTAAAGTTAGTTGAGTTTTCATTTCTTTACATTGTCTTTACATTCAATTCTGTCAACCACAACACATTGTGTGCATCCGTCAGGCCCGACAAACACATTTTCTACCTTATGAAACATTTGCAAAGCCATATTTTGAAGTTTCTGAAATGTGCATTGTTTACATTGCACATTTTGCGACACATCACAGCTGCTAACTGTCGATACGCAACAGAAATGGGGGCCACAAGAAGTTTTAGCTGCTTTTATGATGATTATAATTTATTATTACTTATTCACATGGTAGTCAACAGTCAGTTTTCCCCTTTAATTAGTACTTTCAACTCTGGCAGACTGCATTGCCGAAAAAAAATACGAGGATTCTCCAAAAACTATACGCACTTCCTGCTCTTTGGTTCTGTTTTCCAACCAATTTTGACATTTTTGGCAGCGTAAGGTGGTTTTAAAAGACAACAGAGTCCAAATATATGGAAGAAGGTAAAAAAAAAATGCAAAAGAAACAATATTAGAGAGACCGATGTGGTTTGCAGGATGTTATGAAAAACCACAACAGGAAGCATCAGTAGAATCTGAGTTTTTGAAAGTCACATGAGACGCTGGTGGTTTATCCTATCATCACCATGTGCTCGTCATCCAGCTCATCTTTTCATGGCTAAGAAGCCCTTTAAACCCAGGACTACATACATTTATATATACATTTTTTTACACACTCCTCTGTGCAGTGACCAGGGAAGCAACCATAACGACAGCGTGACTTACAGAACGGGCTAAAGTTTTGTATGCACTCCTTGATGCTGATGCTTTACATTCCACAGTGTTTCACGGTCAGTTTGGTGTCTGTTTTATGAAGACAGAGTGAACCATTCATCCTGCACTGAAACACATACAGCTCAATATACAGCCCCAGCAAACAGCTCAGACTGCATCTGTCATATAATACCAGTGGATGCTTTTACCCTGTGTCATAATCACACAAAGCTTCAAAGGATGTTACAGAACTGTCTTTTTTTTTTGCTGCGATGCTGCTGATAATGACTGTAGTGCATGTAGTAGGTATAACACTATTTAAATGACACACTTTTGTAAAGCAAAAGGGGAAAAAACTGACTCATTAGCAAATGTCTGGCTGGTACAGACTGGGTTCCTGTGTTATTGGTCTCTTAACTTTACTATGGATTACATAATAAATGTGCACACCATATGGTTGGCAAAGCAATCCTAAAAAAACTCACTCCTCTAGCTGTGGTGTTGTTTTTCCATCAAAGGAAAACCCCCGCTCCACAACCCAACACACACATACAGTACAAATCCTCAGGTGCATGCACACTCACACCCACACACACACACAAGTGCAAAAATGTCAAGTTCGTCCACTTAATAACTTTCCAACACAGGAAACACAAAACTGAACAATTTCCATGCGTTAATCTCCCCTTAAGGCTTGCTTGGGGCAGTTGATGTAAGTTAATGTTTGCAAACATGAACAGCTCTTTCCTAAAGCTAAAAACACACAGCAGTATTTAAACTCATATGTGATGTCATCAAAGCCGGGGCAGTTTAAATTACTTTACAGACTTTAACACTTGTTTACAGATGCTTTAGGCAAAATGCAGCACGCAAAAATGAAGTCAAACAGAGGCTGCAAAAGAATATATCTGGGAGAACTGATCCATTTTGCCCAAATGAATTTCAGGAGTCAGATTGTTTGCTTATTGTTTGCAGTAAACAGGAAGTGAGCAATCAAAAAATTGAGAGCAAAGCTAAAATTTTACCCTCAACAGCAGCAATGTACCCTTGCACAACCAGCTGACAAATTTAACCTTACTCATCGTGATGTGTCAAGACTCAATAAGCATTGCTTGGATGTCACCAAAATGCCAGAAACTACACAAAGATGACTGAAAACACCTGAACCTGGTGGGCTGTCCACAGGCTTTACATCAAGTTTTAAGACTGGAAAATAACAGTGGCTTTTTCATTTTGACTGAAATCTGTCGATGAATAAATACATTTGGTGAACTCGCTGTGCTATGCTTACATTTATAAGAGTGCATTGGTTAGGTAATTGTTGCACCGACATCAGGGAGTTAAGAAGTAAACTTTCAGTCTAAATTTAAATTACAGTGCTGGTAATTGTCATCAACCTCTAAATCATTTGCTAGACTAATAGCTTGTAGTGAAAACTGAGCTTGTGAAATCTAGGCTGTGTTTGTGAGGCTTCATCCAGAAAAAGCTGGACTCCCCTATAACTGCTGAACCTGTGTGCAGGTTTTTCACATAAACAGCTTTATCTCACATAAACTCTATATTCCATATCAGATTAAAAAGAAATGTTTACCTAAAAAAGTCCCCCCTCTATCTTTTTTAACATTCTTTCATCTTTTCCAGATCTGGGGGGCAGAGGCCTCTCAATTTTGGCTACACGGAAAGAGGAATAAGGTCTTAAATCCAAGCTGAACTGGCCTAAAGCACATCCGAGTCTTAAAGTTGAGCGGTGTAAGAAGTTTTGTGGTAGATTACTAATGTGCTCCCTCACGTGCTGTGGGGAAAAAAATGGGTGTTTCTCTTCCTATTCGCCACATGACATGAAATACTTGCAAATGATGTTAAAAGTATGAGGGAACAGCTTGTTTTGCAGGGAGGAGGCCACAAACCTGCGAGCAAACCCTGCAGGAAAAACCCATGTGTGGAAGGACTTGGACAGACCTCCTGTACCATAAAGAAACACCCTTTTTTTCTAGCTTCAGTGAAAGTGGGTAAAGGACTGTTTGGCCTTTGAGAGGAGAAAGCATGGCTTGTCAGCTAAAGTGCAGGATGGGTGGAGATTGCTGATAATCTGAAAAATCTGACTTAAACGCAATAAACGCAGACTTCCAGAGGGGAGAAAATTGACTAATGGTATTTACTCCACACATTTATCGCAGTGCACAAACTATGGCTCATGACAGATGTTCTGTCAGCTCCATTTCCTTCCTCTGACACCATGGTTACTTGCTATGAAGTCGTTACTGCAAATCTACTTTAAAAAAATATCAGCCTGAAGCTCAAATATACTGAGCCAAAGATGTGCAGAATCCTGCTGCTTCTGATGAATCCACATGTAGAGGTGTGTGTGTGTGTGTGTGTGTGTGTGTGTGTGTGTGCTTGTTAATAACAGAACAACAACACCCTCAGGAAAGAGAAGTACATTTTTTAAAATTACATCATACAAACAGCATGTGCAACCAGTCTATTATACCACACACATAATATATAAAATAGATCACTTGTCATTAATAAAACATTACTTTTCTATTAGTATCAATTCATATTCATACTGTATCATATATAATATCAAAGTTTAGATGTAAATACTGTACAGATCATTGGGAACTCTTATTGTAGCCAACCCAACTACATGTGCACATAATACTTGATAGGTGTATTGATACATGCAATATTGTTATTTGTTAAATGGTTGCACTGACAGGTTCAAGTCCCTCCAGAAATATCACAGTAATAAGACCATTAAAATGCTATAAAGTCTCTCACTGGGCTCCTATGATGTAATACTTTAATTTCAAACACAAACCACACTAAACGTTAAAAAAACATCTGCTCAAGTTGCCTAAAAGTACAAGCTGCGACAGAAAACTACGCTCAGTCATATAGTTGTTACCTCCATCCTGGGGAATGCGCCAGAGATCGTCCCCCTCCTGCTTTTTTTCTCTGTTTTTCGGCCTCTGGGAGCAAACTGCGTGCTGGTTGTGAGGAGACTGAGGAGCGCAGCGCGGACAGAGAGCAGCTCTGTGTTTATATCTGGAGCCAAGTCAGCCTCATGGAGGAGAAGGAGGAGTGGATAACTTTTACGCGCAGTTGGCTCTTTCAGCGCTGTCAACTCAGCCAGCTGAGATAAAAATACTACTTCTGCTGAAGACTTTCAAAATAAAATTTGGAGAACTGATGCTGGAGGCATAGCAGAGAAAATCTGATGGTTACACTGAATTATTAAACATCTGGGGATACATACAAATGTATTTTTTCTCCTGTAGGTTGGTAGGTTCAACAGATGCAAGCTGGACATTTACTGCGGGTGCAACCCAACACTCAAAGTGTAGAGCATCTACAACCAATGTAAATATAATCAGATTTTATTTTATTAGGATCCCCATTGGCTGATGCAGATCATCCTGGGAATGTCTTCCTTATGGGATTTAGCTGTTAGTGTTTCAACATTGGATGGATACAGTGACAGTGCATACACTTACTAAGTTATATTATTGCTAGTGGCCATATGGGGCTTTAATGCTCATTGACCAGAAAACATAATTGCATGAACATAGACAAATGTGTAGTTCTCACATTCTTATCAGTAGTCTGGCTGAAATGCAAAACTTACAAAAGGCCTACCAGTGGGGAAAAAACATGTTATCTATCAAATCATTTACAAAACGCCTGAAATAAATGTGCTAATCAAGCAATGCTGCAGGCCTGCTTTCTATGAGCCGAAACCTTTAAGCATGTTTTACTCCTTGCCTCAAACAAATGAGTTAAGTCACCACCTCTTTTGCCTTTCTGGCTGATAGAAAACACCTGCCGTGACATCAGTGATTGGAATGTGGCCAGATGAGAGCAACCTTTTAAAAGTTTCAATCCACAGAAATGCACTTTTCTTCCCAGTGTAAGTTGTGGCATAAACTCTTCTCTATTTACCCTTTTAACCTTCAAATATACTTTCACCTGTAAAATATATACGATACGGCTTGAATTCATCTCCATGTTTATAAAGTTGTATACTTTTATTTTGAAGGCGGTGTTTTTTTCACATCTGGTCTTGACTCAGCTGTATGAGGTGGGGCATCACCAATTACAACACTGTGTATAATTGTCTATACAATTTAGCTGCTCTTCCACCCAGAGTATGTCTACACTGATGAACTATATCTTTAATAATTCTATAGGCACAGGTGTGCCTGCGGTACCTAATAATTAAAGATTATCGCACTACATTTTTCATATTCTATAATATCATTATAACCATCCTACAATTCCTGCAGGGTCTCTAAAAAACGTAAATTTAGAAAAATTAGATTAACTTAGGTACATATCAACATCTACATCAAGTATAATTTAAAGTAACAAAAAATCCAAATGCAAAAGTGGAAAAATTGAGTGCATATCGGAGTATTTAGGGTGGATATATAAAGGCTGGATAATGAATTGCACTTCACACATGGACCATAGGTTGCAGGTTTTTTATTAGGTCTAGGCCTTGATGTGCATGTGTGAAATGCCTGCATTTGAAGTCTCACCTCCTCCTGTAACTACTTTATTATGTGCAGGAGCACTTCAAGAGTTTGCTTTCATATTTCTGAATGTGTGTTCTCTTCCGAATGTACTGCAGTTTGCATGTTTAAGTTCAGGGCACTCACAGCTGGCAAGCATGCATGCACATATTACTGTTTGCTTTTTAGTCAATTAGTCTCATTCTGAGTCTTCCTTTGAGTGAGGCTAAAAGTTCTGGGAGTAACTCTGCTGTCCTGCTTGGAGCCAGGAGAAATGAGAGTCAGTCACTCAAGTGGTTTGTGGCGTTGGAATGTAGAGAAGCCATCTAATGGATTGGTTTCTAACTCACCAACAACACACCACACAACTGCAGGAAAGGCTGTTTCTCCTGCTGATATATTGACCACACACTATTCCTCACATTATCTTAGGCCACAGCCCTGGTGGAGAGAGATAACAGTACTATTATATAGTTATATTTGCTCAGTTTGATAAATGAACTGCTGAATCTGTTCACATGAAAAATATCATCAGAAATAGTAATTTCACACCATTTACATCCAGTGCCTGAAGTTGATACTCACCAGTGCTCCAGTATTCATTACCGACACTTCTGATTATTATCTACAGAGTTACCCTTACTTCTTATTGCAATGCGTTACTTCTGGTGAAAGGTCACCAAGGTCTGAGCCTCAGTATTTTTTCCAGGAGGTACACAATAAAAGTCTTGAAATAATTGCCCAAAAATAACTTTTATGCTTTGATGCATGCCCCCAAACCCCTCTGGCAGATTACATTTTTGGACCTGGGTGTTTCTAAAGCCCTGCATACAGCAGTGCTGGAGATGTACCCCTAAATGTACGCACAACTGTGTCTCTGTGAAAACACATAGCTAGTTTAATGCTAAGAAAACAGCACTGAAAATGGCAAAAGAATTAGGGTTACGTAAAGTTTAGGGTTAGTGTGGTGCTGAATTAGGTCACTGGCACCTTTTACACTGTTGACACCTTTTTGTTTACTTGACTTAGCCAAAAGCAGGCTGTGATCCGGTTTCACAGGTTTGAAATTGATACAGAAGCAGGTTCCGTTGTCTAGGGAGTTTACATTTTTTACATTCTCAGTAGGCCACATGTCAAAAAGTATTGAACAAACACAAACACTTCACAGACAGAGTAGATATTAATTAGCCTCCAAATTGCTGGAAGCTCTACTCATTTGGAGAAAGAAGCAGGGCATTGACTCTTCTGCGTGTAACATGGTTCATTAAACAATGGAAACTGTTTACTAAAAGCTTTAGAAGACAGGGTGATTAGTGCTTTATAAATTAAGCTTATCATTATTACTGCCGTTAAAGGCACTCGAAGGCGCTGTGGGAGTGCCTGGTGGTTTATAAAAGCCGAAGACACATTTGTGTTTGTTGTCTTACTGTCACCCAGCTGTGACAACAGGAGTGCAAAGTGAAAGTGAGTAGGCGCTGGCACACATCTGGCTCTTTGTGGCAGGGACAAGATGGCCAACTTGACAGACCATTTCAGGCTTTTATGTTCGCACAAGATAAAATATCTGCCACTTCAAAACAGGTGGTCACCAGAAGGGCTCTCCGTTATAGGAGTTTTTTACAGTGAACACTTGACCTCACAGTCACAGCTTGGGGTAAGAAAAGCTTTGGGCATGGGGAGGCGGAGAGAGAACCAGATGACACCAGAGGACGTAAGGAGAGCAGCCTGGCTTCAACAGAAACCATCAGGAAATATGGTGAACCCCTGCAGTCTTTCTAGAAAGAGTTGATCAGCCGACCCCTCCCCTAAAGGACCTCCATTTTAGCGCAGCTTCCTGTGGCCACACGCATGGACCAGCAGGCACAGGGAGCCAAACAGGAAGTGAATATGTGTGGCTGATAATTTGTGGAAATGGGCCGAAAGGGGGAAGCTGATAAATATTTCTCACAAGGAGAATTGGAAGCCTTTGACCTAAAATAGAAGTGTTTATGTAGTTTACAAGCAATATTTGGCCCACATAAAGCCCAGGAAATGTTTGATATTGCTGTAATTTCTTTTTTGCACATGCACACACACACACACACACACACACACACACACACACACACACACACACACACACACACACACACACACACACACACACACACACTATTCTTTGGCTCCTCCCTCTGGTGGAGAAGATCATTACACTGAAATGATGTTGGCCTGTGCAGCTGTGCCAGAAAACACTCACTTTCCAGAAGAGGTTAACTTAAATTGATTCACTAATGGATGCAAATAATAATAAAAAAAAAACATACATACATACATCAAAACAAAGCAGCATGTATTATAGGGGATTATATGTGTAAATCCATGTAGTCTCTGTCTTATTTGAGGTTTACTACATTATACACAATTACAAAACGCTTTCCAAATGTTAAAATGAGGCAGACAAAACCAATCAAACACTTTGCTTGCAAATCAGTTTAGATATGTTTTGTGCTTAAGTGGTATATATATTACTCAGTTGCTTAATAACAGGCCTCAAGATATTTTTTGTAAAGGACCTTGAGATGAGGGAAACAGGCGGTGTAAACAGCTGCAGCAGTAATATCATCATCAGTTTCATTACTATTCATATTTGGAAATAATGTGTTTTTGCTGAGGAATTTTAGTCCTCATGACGTCAAGAAATCTCTGAGGAAATGTGTCATCATATTTCTATTAATATTTATCATTTGTTTTACATTTCCAATGAATGACATGCCGTATGCAGCATGTTAGATGGTTGCTGACTGAAGTCATGGCCTGAAAAGGAGAGTCAAAGCAAACAAACTGTATATTTCTAAAGCTGAATGACTTGAGGTGGTGTGAAGAAGGCCTGAGGGAGGTGTTGACAGCTCTGGACAAGCTGTTCGCAGACACTCTCTTCATTATCAGTAAAGAAAATAACCAACAGAGGAGTCGTGCTGCTTGCTGATCTTTCCCCAGGTGATGGCAGGGATGGTCTGCAGGATGTAAGCTTTTACCCGCTGCTTCAGCTCCTCTGGCAGAGATGAATGGCTCTGTGAAAAAAGTGTCATGAGGATGAGTCAGCCCAGAGCGACTTTGTCTCTTTGTATTTGTGCAAACCAAGGACTGATGATTCATGGGCAAAATCACGACAGTTCCTTTTAAAGAACAAGATGTATGGTAGACAGAACCTGGAAAACTCTGGGTTTATTTTGGGATTAGACATTGTTCAGGTTAAAAATACATAACTTTGACGTTACCTTTCTTGCCAGAGTGCAGGAGGTACAAAAGTGTACAATTTCTGATCCGAAACGCAGCATCAAAGAAGAATTGTACAATGGTGTCAAGATTATGCAAGTGGAAGCAATAAAAGCAATGAGCTCTGCTACTGCTGACAACCTAATATCGTTTTTCCTCTTTGAAATGCACTTAGAGCAGCCATTACTTTGAATATGGTGATGCAGGGACGTTGGCTGCCAGCGTAAATCTAGCTCAGAGCCCAGGTAATATAATAGCTGTGTCAGATTACATGTGATGGCCGGCACGTACGCAGCCTCAAACCTCAAGGCTCAGGTGGCCTCTGTATCACACACACAGACAACAACCTCCCCATTTTCATAGTAATTTGCTTTTATCAAGTTTATGTTCCATCTATTCACTGGAGAGATGGTACACAGCCCCGCAACAAACCCACACACAACACACACACACACACACACACACACACACACACATAATTTTAGATCTGAACAACTAATGGCCCACAGCTAATAGGTTTACTTGTTTTTGTGTTTCTTGATTTATGAGAGCAACCAACAAACAGTATGATAACAATTGTTCACCATACATTAAACAAATTCAATCTTACAACAGTAATGTAGCTGAGACGACAATTAAATATTATAAATGAACAGACATTTTGAATGTGGCAAACGTCATCTGTCATTAACAAAGACGGGTCATTTATTAATCAGAGCTGCGGATTGATGGTAATGGCGAACTGAAATGGTGCATGTATTCAATAAGCGCGGACACCAAGCAAGAAAAACAAGTAGCGGTACACAATGTAGAGATAAATACTTTTGCATGAGATGTAACACTGGAACAAGAAAACGTAAATAACAACTTTGTCTCTTGAGTCAACTGAATTTCTATTTCCTTGACAACATTTTTTTTAATCTGACATCTTTGAAAATCATCCAGTCTCTGTGAACAAACTGCCACTGAGTAGTAGTAAATCTGATTTTGCATTTTAAGTGCAGTGGAGCCCTCAGCCCTACTTTCATCCTCAAACATAAAATGGAACAAAGATCCCTCCTCTACACATCTTCAGCAAGTTTCCTCTTTAGCTGCAACTCCTGAACTTCAAAGAACCGTGCAAACTCTTTCTTGGTGATGAAGTCAAAAGGGCCTGCAGGAGCTGAGGCCCCTCAGACCCCAGTCAGGCTTTCGTTCAGGGTGGAGATGTGGTCGCTCACACAGAGCTGTCTCTGGCCACGGTGGGCTTGTCTGGGCCTCTGGTGCAACAGGAACAGGCGTTTGGCTGCAGCCCTGTACTTCCGTGACATAAGGTTGTAGACGACGGGGTTGATGGAGGCGCTGAGGTAGCAGAGCACCATGGAGGCCATGTTGAAGTTCTGGCTCAGCATGGCCGTGTCGTAGTCGTCCACCTGGGCAAAGAGGTTCCTGCCGATGTGGTAGGGCAGCCAGCAGATGATGAAGGCCAGCACCACCACCACTGACGGGGCGAAATAAAATTAGTTTAATTTAAAAGGTGATTAAAGGAATAGCTCGACATTTTGCAAAATATACTTATGAGAGAGAGTTAGGTGAGAAAATGTACCAAAATGTCAAACAATTCACTTAAAGCTGCATTCAATGGTTTGGTTCCACTTAACCAAATATTTGTTTGTATGTTTTTGTATCTCCACGCCTGAGGCAATAACATAACTAGATATCACTAGATTACTAGAAGTAGGTACAAAACTATTTTCACTTGTATTTTGGGTGCACAGACCCTTTGAGTATTTTTGACTAAAACACACTTGGTTCTAAGAGTTTCATAAACAGCTAATGGGACTGTGTGGGAGTGGTTCGATCAGATTTGATGGACAGTATCTGTCCAGCAGCAACCAGTTTACAGCCAGTAGTGTTATGTTGTTAAATTTCAGATTGGTGCACAGAAATACCTTCTTCTCCTGTCCTCTTCAAACTAGTGATAAATATAAAATAAAATATTCTACTTTGACAGATATTATTGTATTCATGTTGGGCTCATTTATAATTAGAAGCTGATTAATCAAATTGTCAGGATCTTTAAGTAACCTATGATCCATAGTCACCCTTGACATTTATTAATGAACAGCAGCAATTAACATCCAAAGAACGTCTCCTTAAGCCCACGCAAAACTCACTTGGACAACCTCTCTTGTTCCCTTAAGTGACGGCGGCCTGTAATTGGCTCCAACAATGAAGTCACATTTTCACAATACAGGCAAGGAGGCAAACTAATTAGAGCATGCAGCAGAAACGCCACTGAGGAGAGAACATGTCACAAATCGCAAATAGAAAAAAGCTTTATCGAGCTTTTGAAAGCCAGAAATATCGGGGGGGGGATGAGGTAATCATTGAGTCACTGATATTGATCAAGAAACCCCTGCAAATAAAATGATCATCAATTTGTCTGATAGGGGCAGAAATTTTCTGTATGGATAATAAATGTCAATTCAATAATCAAAAGAGAGGTATATCTGGCCTACATAAGCTTAATTATCTGTGAATTAACAATAACAGTTCAATTAAAAGATTAATTGTGGATTCACAGAGAGAACAGATGCCACACTTTTTTCCAGAATTGATCATCTTTTGCTGTACAGGAACACTGATCATTGAGTGACTCCTGAGTTGTGTGACACCGGCAGATTAAAAAGGTGCCCAGGACTGTGGGAGCATGTACATTTTCATTAAGGTTGATTTATGGAGGCCTCTGATGACAATCCAATTTGTGATTCAACAAATGTGGATACAAATGGCTGCAGGTCTGACAACATGAGCTCTGTGCAGTGTGTGCTCAGCTAATAAACAGCATTAATATCCTAATGGATAGATCATGATTAAATATTTGGTTAATGCAGATTGGCATGGCCACGGCCTTTTACTGTAAAACAGGGTTTCCTGCACAGTATGCCAGAGCTGCAAATTAAGCCAGTCACTATCTGCAGTGGCAGGACATGATTAGCTTCAGACAAAACAGAACAATTAACCAGCTGATATCAACAGCAACACACGTTACCGGCTTTCTCTTCCTCAAATTTTACCGCATAAAAACAACACATTGCGCTGTGAAAGCGCTTACAGAGCTGGATTGAACAGATTGGGTGAAACTACTTTAGGTTTTAAATTGAGGACAAATCAGTCCTTCAAATATATGTGAAAACAAAAGTTCAATTTGCCATACCAAACACGTACACACAACAGAGCCAGAGCAGAAAACCAGAAATCCTGGATTCCAAAGGAATCCGTCTGTTTCTTTGCTTCAGCAACAATGAAAGGCAGACTGTGTAAACAGATGGTTTTTTGGTTGAGGCTTTTTACCAACAAAGAGAGTTTAATATGCTATCAGTGGTGAATCTGAGTTGTCTGCCTTTGCACTTTCTGCCAATGGAAAGCAGAGAAAGGTTTTAGAAAGCAGAATCAGAGGGCGCAATTCTGGGTGATGTGAAATGTCTTTGAGCTTTTGTGCATTATCAGTGATGATCAATATGTACATGTTCACTTGCAAACTGCGAATGTGAAATTTTTTGTCACAGTGCTATAACAGCTGTCTGTTCAACTGTGCAAACCTGCTCTCTGATGTATATCTTTGTACAGGATGCAACACTTGAAGGCTGACACTCACTGACACTGGTAGTGGTTCAAGTTTCCGTTTTTTGTTTTTGACTATGATGTGGCCTGATTGCTGCCTGATATCAGCATACAAGAACCAGATCTGTCTTTAGATATGAGAAAAGGGAAGGAATAACCCACTTACCCAGGATCTTGACTGTTTGCCTGTGTGACCTTTCACGTGCCAAAGCACAGTGGCCTTGCAGGTCATTTTTGCTTTTCCACAACTTGCACCCGATGGAGCCGTAGAGGAAGATAAGGCAGAGCATTGGGCAGAAAAAGTAGGTGGTGGACACCCAGAGCATGATGTGCAGTTGCCCAGAGATGATGGCGTAGTTGGTGTGCTTGCACTGGCCAGTGTTGTAGTCCGGGTGTGTGTCATTGTCATACTCCACCCCGACCAGGAAGAGTGTGGGAGCTGCAGAAATCAGGGCGAAACCCCACAGGGCGAAGATGATGTACTGGACCCTGCGTCTGGTCACCACCACCTTACTCCTGAGGGGGAAGCTGATGGCCAGGTAGCGCTCAATGCTCAGGGCCGTGATGTGAAGGATGGTGGCTGAGGTGCATCCCTCAAAGATGTAGTGATAGAAGCGGCACACTGCCTCCCCAAACAGCCAGGGCACATACTTCCACAGCCGGTAGAGGTCAAAGGGCAGGCAGAGGAAGATGATGAGGTCAGACACCGCCATGCTGGATAGGTAGAGGTTGGTGGTGGTCTTCATGTCCTTGAAGTGCTGGATGATGAGGATGGTCATGGTGTTGCCCGTAACCCCGATGATGAAGATGAGGATGCAGATGACAGTGACAGGGATGAGGGTGGAGGTGGGGAACAGGGAGCCCTCGTAGTGGTGGTCCTCTATGTTATACTGGTCCATGGCCTCTGCTCCACCAGCATGAAGGTCCACCTGGGGTCTGGTCCAGGGCATGCCAACCTCCACTAAGTGCCGGCACACTGAAGTATGAAATCAAAACTCAACAAGCAGCTGAGGAGAGAAGAATAAGACCATTACAGAAGCAACCCTGTGCTCTCTCTTAAAGTTATGTAGACTTTACATTTCTGCTGACATGCAGGCGTTGGTTTCTGTTCATTTACGTACATTAAATATGAACATTTGTTAGCAGTGGTTTGAAACGTGATACAGATAGGTAATCTACAACAGTGAAAACAGCCTGCATTATTTTTCAGTTTCATTATGGTTGTAAGGTAATGTAAAACGTAAATGATTTTAAATGATAGCATTGCACTGGAAACCAGTGGATGGCTGGAGAAATATATTCAAAAATGTGAAACACAACAACATTATTTTAAAAAACAATTCAATATGAAGCCTAAAACATGCAAAAACCACAAGTGTGATCCTTTAACTTGAACACTGAAAGCAGAAATAACATCCTGGTCTAAAATAAATCTTTGCTGATGACTTTACCTTTAAAGCAGAGCTCAATCTCCCAACCTTTTAACTTTTTCTTGGTCTCTGCTGTGTTACTGTGTGTCGATGGAGAGCAGCAGCAGCAGCAGCAGCAGCAGCAGCAGGGGAGTCACATGAAGTGGCAGAGCCGGACCCTGATGCTTAATAACCAATCTGAGCTCTGGTGAGAGACGATGAAAGGAGCACCTCCTCCGCAGTACCCTGAGGAGTCAGGGAGCAACAGGGGGGTTGTCTGCTGTGTGTGTGTGTGTGTGTGTCTAAGTAATGTTCATAATCAAATGATGACGGGACTGAGGAAGGTAAAAGGCATAAGATGGAGGGGAATAAGATTTGAGGGAACACCCCCCCACCTCCTCTGGAATAAATAAATGCATATAATTTTATTAATTAATGCATCAATCACTGAAATCGCAGTGTGTTTGCCAAGCTGTCTGGAAGCAGTCACTAAAAAAATGAGTTCTGTCTTTGCTTAATTGTCCACCAGCCCCATCTGTCTCTCCGCTTGGCTTCATCACTCCACACACCCACAAGCTCATCTCTTCCTTTTCACCCACAAGATACCAATCAGGCTTGTTATGATAAACCTACAACAATGCTGGTTAAAGAGGAATGTCATTTTAAGAATAAACTTTGGTCATTACCTAGAGGTGTAACCAGGGCCTAAAAAGGTCAAAATCCCACAAGAATCTAGCTGTGCTCTGTAGACAGTGAATGAGTGGGGCATTGGATTTAACCTCACCCTATCCCTTTATCTGTGAGACTTGTGTGAGTTCTTCCACCTGGATTTTCAATGTGAGAATACAAGCTTTATTTTAGTGCAACCTCCAACAAGTCAGTGCACAGTCTGGATAATTCTTGTGAAATGAATGCTCTTCCACCAACTTGTGTGTTGCAAGTAGAAGGTAACGTCATGAACATGCGCAGAGGTGTATTTCTTGATCTACAGGTTTTCCTATGTTGTGTCACATTAATCACCAAAGCCTGGATGACCTGCTGGATGACCAGCAGTGTGCTCTGTTGGTTCCGAGCCACCACATCCATTAGATCTAAATGAACCTTTGTTACAAGAGTCACACTGACGTCAGGGTGTATTTGTGTGTTTACACTGAACTGACCCACAGCCGGATGTGCCACTTGACCTCAGAGGGGCAGCAGGAACGTCCCTCCTCTGTCATTGTTTACTCCCCGTCAAAGCAACACGACAGGGAAAGCTTGTTTGCCCGTTTTTTGTGTTTTTTAAAAAAAAGAGGATCCAGTCTGTCTCTCAACAAGAGCTAATGTTGTACACAGAATGGTGACTGAGACGAGTAAGCCCACTTTCACCCTCATTAATCATGGCTCTCTTGCTTATGCCACTTAGGTGTGCTTGAGCAGTGAACAGAAACTCGTAGTCCAGAAGCTTTCATTCAGCAGTGTTTCTCACACACACACACACACACACACACACAGTCAATACTGTGAGGTGTGGCAACAGTGCTGAACTCCAGACCAGACAGAGGAAGTATCAGTATTTAATGATTGATTAGGATTTAAATTCTTGAGATTCTATGCTTGTTTGGTAGGTGATTATATTCTTTAAGTTTTCTTACCTTGAGAGACAGAATGAAAGAGGAGAGAAGGAGGAAGTAGATCTGGGGAAACAAAAGGATAGAAGATTTTTCCATTCAGATTTTGAACCTTCTGTATTTTTAATCTTGGTTTAGGGGGATGATGTCGGCCACCTGCCGTCATCATCTGTGAAAATAGAATAGTGGTATTCCAGCAATGCAGAATTTTTTTAATAAAATGAAAGTCCTTCGGTTTGCTTTCAGCCTGAAGACTGTACGTACTGGCTGGTAGATTGGCTCCATAATGTGGAGCTCATTTCATTTATGTTGGTAAAAGTTTTTGTATTCATGTGCCTTTGTTTAACTAAAACATAATAGCTATAGATTAGAGTCTCTTCAGAGTCCCTGTACATGTCTTTTCCTTTTTTTGGTTTCATATAAGGTATTTAATTACTGGTCAAACTTTAGATTTTTGACACAGTGGCTGGGCCAACAACTGTCAACTATACTTGCATCAACACTAAGCTTTCATTTTCCCATCATTTACCGTTTCAAAAGTTATAAATAGAAATGATCAAGTATAATTTTTGCTGACGTCAGTCTCTCCAGCTCTGTGCAGGAACATGCTCTCTCATGTTATGTAATGATAATGTGATCTAAATGAAAATTTGACAATGCAGAAGCCAACCACGGTGTGGGACATCCTCATTAATTATTTTCTATAGCAATACACCTCTGGGTGTATTACTGCACTTACTTATGCCATTGCCGCCTACCACCTGAGAGACTGTGGTCCCTTTTTCTTTTCTTTTTTAAGTTTGTTTCCAGTCAGCTGAACCCGGGGTTAAGTCTGTTTCAGGTTAGCAAGTGAGGTAAATAGACCTACTGTAGCTATCATTTTGGGCTCCAACTAACAAATAATTTCTTATTTTTTCTTTTGATTAGTTAAAAGTCTATAAATCATCCAAAAATGTTGAAACATCTACAAAGATTTTGTTAAACCAACAGTCCAAACCCATAAAAATATTCAATTATAAAAAACCTTAAAACAATTAATGGATTTCCAGAATAGCTGACTATTCATTTTCTTATTAGTTATTGATACAGATATATAAATTAAACTGTGCATTTCCTGGTATACAATTTCAACAGACACCTGGCAGCCAATCAAAAACAAGTATTTCCATTGCTATGTTATAACTGATGAGTAATCCGAACACAAATATATGCCCAAACTTCCAACATGATTAAGAATTATAAATCTTTTATTGTGCATGGATCCTTTGTAGATATCATGGCTATACAGATACACTTTTGATACATATCTATGATTATACATTTTTCCCATAACGAACATTTTAAAGTGATATGTCTGGTAGTATGTATAGTATAACAAATTTTCATTTTGGAATGTACGGTGTATGAGGTAACTGCAAACATTAAAATTACATAAAAATGGTCTCTATTTTTGTGCATATTTTACTCATTTTTGTAGCATTTTGTTAATCTCTCCAACCAAAGGTAGTGAGCCCTGGGTGAAGAGGTGTTAAAATGGCACACGTTGCAATCGCTATCAAAAATAGGAATTTGAATTCTTTAAATGACAAAGAGAAGACATTTGCAGAATGTCTGAAAGACCAAATCATGTAATTATCCAAGACGTTTTGCAAGGTACCTGTATTTCATTTTTATGGTTGCAACAGCAATTATCTGCCCAAAACCAAACAACACTAGACCCTACAGCCAGATTACCACTGAAAACTCAGCACTGGCAATCTGTTACAAATACTTAACACACAGAGAAAAGGCAAATTTAGATTCACAGGAAGTACATGATATAACACATTTTTCTATCTGCCATTTGCGTTCCATGATTCATGAGTACTCAGGATTTATTATTTTCTCTGGAGAGTATTAACTTATATTACTTCAATATTATAAAAAAATATACTTCACACATGTTTGACTTGACAAAAGAAATCAAAAGAAATCATAAGTAATATATAGAACTACTTTCCATTTCTCTCCTGATTACGTATGTTTACTAACATCAAATAAATGTTGCAAAAATAAAAGTAAATAAAACACATTTTAGTGTTTTCTAACACTAAAAGAAAAACATCGAAACTTAAGAGAAATTAAGAAAATTCTCCCGAGATTTTTTTCCTCTCCAATTAAGGCCTCTGAAACAACTGGTACATACTTTTTTTTCCTCCGTTTTTTTTTCCTTTTTTTTTTGCTGAGATAGATCAGCTGTTTCAGTGACACATTATGTGGTACTACAACTTTTAAAACACCCAAAACACAAGTAGGGCTTGCACAATCTCAAAGTGTGTTCTATAAAATGCATCACAAGACCAAGACGCAGTTAGTCAAGGTTTCCTTTCACTAAGGTGCAAAATCAATTACTGGGGAAAAACCAAAACCAAAGTAAAACAAAACATACAGGTAAGCATACATTTTTTGTGCTGAACAACAATATTTCGGAGTAAAGCAGCAGTATAACTATATGATAGTAAAAATAATTAGAATTCACTGTTAGTTTGGTTTTTGTTTGTTTTCTAATCATACTGAGCATTTTTTTTCTCAAACTTACAGGTCCTTGTGTCTTTACTGTACAAAAATATACTAACATTTCTCCAGTCATTTTTGCATCCTTAAACATTCTGAACATCAAAAAGGTTGGAAAGTGCTAAATGAACGTTCTATAATGTGAACAAGATTTTCATTTCTGTTTCTTCTCTCACTAGACCCCTTAAACTCCAGCAGGGGGTTAAGTCCCTTCGTCTGGCCCTGAAGCCCTCCCAGCCGTGTACCTCTGTGGCACTAACTACGTACAGTATACACATCTGGACACACACACCCCACTGTGCAAACACTGGCCCACCAGGTCCCAGGATCAAATAGCACATAGGCTAATGACACACCTACATACTATTTTCAGAACACATCTATCAAAAACAGTTTCATACTGGACACATTAATGGAAATATAAATAAGGACTATTTCTATACATATATATGTATATATGTATATATATATATATACATATATATACTATAATCAACAAGAACATGAGTCGAAGCGCCCCTTCCCTCCCGACCCTCTCCCCAAAATAAACCATATCCCTGCTCTTTCTGAGTTTCTTTTGCGCAGGAAGCTGATCATCAAGGAACAGAATTCTGAACTGAACAACAGATACCACAGGGTGACAAAGGCAGGATAGTCAGGAAGGTATAACACGTGCTGAATAAGGTGTTACATCCTTAATTTTTAGCTGCTATTCAGCTCTCACTCAACAGCCTTCTTGCTCGTAACGCGATTACTCTGTTGACAGAAAACAAAGTACAAAACAAAGAATACAAAACAACAGAGAAAAGGGGGAAAGAATAAAGCTATAACCCTGCAGCTGGGTGCGCAAACTGCTCATTTAATAACAAAGTACTGGATGACAAAAGCGATGAGAATGGCAATGACGGCGAAAACCATGAGGAGGAGGAACGCGCACTGCTCGTCCGTCAGGCT